GGGTCATACCCCAAAATCAATTTTTCATGTGACCCCGTTGTTATTCCGCAATATTATTGGTCTGAACAATTTGATTAATCCCCCAATTCCCCAAATGGTTTACGCGCTCTCTTAACATATACTATGATGTCTGAGCAGTCAGTTGTCAGCCTGCCATTTGGCAGAGCTGTTGAAGAATACATTTATAAACATGACCTCCTGAAGAACATCCGACTCAAGAAACAGAGTAGAACTAAAGTAAATAAGGCAATTAATACAGGCCTTGTTACGCTCCAACGTGTGGAGGGAGCGATAGACTTTATTGGGTGGACTACTGTAAAAAATGAAGATAAGTCAACCAATCGCCTGGATGATACACTTAGACTAACTGATGCAGGGAGAGCGCGCGTCAACCAAGTGAAACAAGGAGTTGCAAGAGACATGTGTGTGTGGTATTGGGTGCTTTTTTGTGCTGGAGATGGAAACTGTCAAAGAGCATGTGGTGGCTATGGGAAATGCATGGAGGAATGTCCCAATTATGGCCTTAAAAACAATATAAAGAATGACTTTGATATGCATAAGTGTACCATTCGAGTAATCACAAAAGTTATGCTTTCTGAAGTTGATTACAATCGCCGGTTCAGATTCTTATTAAAGGACAACATATTCCAGAAAACATAGCAGTTAATCATCAACCGTCTATATCACGAATCAATCTTTCCCATAAAACGCGAGATTTAATACTATCAAGTAGACGTGGAGCAAGCTCTAGTAAGATGGGTGTCATGATGAAAATGTTGGTGCAATATAATGAAGCATCAGTAAATACCATTAAAGAAGAACTCAAGTCACAAAAGAACATATGTACTGAACAAAAGTTACAGGGTTTACTGGGACAAGACGGTGCATGGACAATGCTCCATAAGCTCATAGTAAAGCAATTGAAAGACAAAGGAGCTGTACTGTATTATCAGCAGCCAGATATTAATATAGAAACACCAGCTGACAACCCCGATCATTATTATCAACTTACTCTCAGTGACGAATTGTGGCTGTGTCAGGCCCGTGATCATGGGTATTTCTGTATAGGCATCGATGGGATGGGAAATACGACTTGAATATCGATAAAGCTCCGATCCTGACAATTATCATTCAAGATAATGCAGGACATGGCTCTCCAATTGCATTTGCATTAGCTAACAAAGAAAACCAACATACAATTCATATAGCTATTGAGTCTGTGCAATCAAATATTCCATGTCACCGAGCTGACTGTAATCACCCATATGAATATAGAGATTTGGACAATCTAAAAGGCTTTAGACGTATCCGTTTATGTGCTCCCTATTGGAAACCCATGGTAATGATGGATAAACATCGTCCTACAAAGGCGGCATTGGAACCATTGTTGCGTGGATCTATATTGTGTTGGTTTCATATAATGAAGATACTTGCAGACCATCTACATAAATATAGAATCCCTTGGTCTTTGCAGTATTCGATTGCTATAGCCTTCAAAATTCTTGGACGAAGTCGCAGTGTAGAAGAGGCAAGAGAATTAGGTACACTATATCAAGACTTTATAATGAATTTACCAATAGAGCAGGAAGCGAAAGAATTCTTCATAGGAGATATATGGTCAAACTGGTTATGTGATGAATGGATTACCAGTTTTATTGATGGAGGACGTATTCCACAACCTTCTGATGGTCCACATGCTAAACCCATGACTACAAATAATCTGACCGAACGCATGAATAAAACAATCGAGTTTAAGCATAATAGCATTAAGAGTGTTGTTGACTTTGTGGAGCATCTTTATGGAGTGGAACAAGTTCGTGACACATTAACACAATCGGAATGTGGACAATCACTCTTTAACAGTGGATTAGTCACTTATTGGAACATGCGCACTGTTCTGCATGAGAGTAAGTCACCACAAAAGACAACCGATCAACTTCGCCGTTTGAATCAAGGAAGACTCCTACTACTTCTTGGTCACATTAAAGACATTCCTAATCACACGAACTATTATTATGTAAAGAAAGGGAAAGGGATATTCCGCGCCCCTTATAACAATAAGCTTGTAGACATGAATGATGACATTACGGAACACATTCATAAAATGATTGATAGACTCACATCAAAACACAATATTGACTGTATGCCTGATTATTACATTGTAAACATTGTCTCAGGCGAGTGTAACTGTTTTGATTTTATATGGAATGGACCATTCAGAGACGTATGTAAACACGTCCATGCTGCACGACTATATAATGATATTAAGAACGATATCGATACAGAGAAGGAAATTATTAAGGCGAATTTAGTGACTCATTTCAAAAACCGAGAAAAGGTTCTTTCTGCCAATATGAAAAACAATATCATTTATTCTGGGAGTGTCAACAGCGCATTTGCGGAGATACTCAAATCGTTTGAAAAATATGGTCATGAGATATTCTACCTGTGTGTAAGATACATCGTAGATAGTGACCCATTCCGTCCCCGGGAACTGGCCGAGACTCGTAGAAATAATACTGGCGCTCCAAAGAAAGACGGAGCGAAATTTCGTATGACAAACCATCTATTTCCTGTGACCATTATAGAGGTAAGTTGATATATCATATTATATCCGATTATGAATCAAGTGATATATTAAATTAATTTAAATTAGCAGGACAAAGCTATGTTCGATTCCAAAATCGCGAATGACATAGTTGAGAAAAACACCGATCCAAGAATTCAGTCATCAACTGAAAGGCGTTACACCATGCACATACGCAATATCAGATATAAAACGTGGAAGAAGTAAACGAAAGGTAGTTATATAGTATGTCTAGTGAAATTTGTCTTATTGCGGCTTACTCTGATGCTCATTTATTGCCAGGCAATTGATTCATGTGATGACAAGGAAAATTTGTCGAGCCAACCAAAGAGAAAAAGGAAGTATGAAGCTTGTCTCTTGCTGGAGACTTTGTTTTTAGAGCAAGGATCAAATTGGAAGCCATCATTATTTGTCGAAGAATCGCTTAGTAAGAATATCCGCCTTGATGATGATGTTGAACATAATAAGAAAAAAATATACATGTGGTTGAATAATAGAAAATCCAAAGAGAAAAATACTAGTGAGCAGTAACACATAATAGTATTTGATTGTTTGCATAGCATCGCTATCTTTTTTCTAATAAAATACGACTCAATCACATATAAATAAACTGGAGATAATCATGTTCAGACCAACAATATTGCGGAATAACAATGGGGTCACATGAAAAATTGATTTTGGGTATGACCCCAGCAAGTGTATCAAGAACGAGGTGTTCTGTGTATCAGGATCATAATCAATGGTTTTTGCTAATAATAATAATAATAATAAAAGGAAACTTTTCTAGTACTACGTATTATAATACCTTCATAGTAAATAAAAATTTACTTTGTTTAATTTAAATAAATACAGTACACATCAAGGACAAGTACAAACACTCAATTTATTGTTGTCTGTGGTGGATGGCCTAATTATAATAGAACTCTGCTAGCCATCTACTTTACTCTACCCTTTTAATCTAAGAACAATATGTAATAAGAATATATATTAGTATTTTATAAGCCTACTTTATTTATTGGAAATATGTACTGACACTGTAAGGTATTAGATAAGTCTTGTAGCAGCACAGTAACAGGGGTCACCCATGTCTGCTTAAATAATAATAAAGACCTCAAACCCCCAATTTATTGTTATTTGCAAAATAAAAGAAATTTCATATAATACAAAAAAATAGTAAACATTGAACAAAGTCAGTTTATACAATGGGCAAAAAAGTGAAAATATATAAGAACATTACAGTAATTTCTATAAATCCAAGTAGTTAGAGCAACAATACACAAGCAAATTTTTACAAAAATATGGGTACAGAGGCAAAAAATGTGAGTTGGTAGTTCTAATCTTAGCCTTAGCCTTAGCCTTAGTCCTAGTTTAAGTTTGCCTTTTATAAAATTTGAATATTTAGTATTATCCTTAAGAACAGCAGAGAATGCACAGTGTGAGAAGGTGCTGCCTGCATACAGCACAAGGTAAGTTGAATTCCTTCTAGTTTTGATGTCAGTGATAGGTTCAAGAATTTCTGTTGTTACATTATTAACTGTTGCACATGCTGCAGTATTTCACAGTATTTGTCATGATTCACAAGGCATATTTAATGCCATAGCCTTAGTAGTGAGTTTCTGACATTCTTTGAGTCCTCCATTATTGCAAGTTGTAGTGTATTAGTATGTGCACAACAGGTTATTATTATGTGTCAAATGTCAAGTTGTCATATACAACAATCATGTTGGCAGCATTATCACTTATTTCCATAATGTAAATGACTTTATCTTTTATACACCACTTTGCAAACTAAATCAAACATTCAATAAAAACATGTAATTTTATAACAGCCCTCTGGATGCAATTTCACACACCATACTGTATATTGGTGTGATAATTCACAATTCACTAGATTACTTCAATAGACATTCAGCTGCCAGAATCACCAAGTTCCTTCATATGTTATTTGAGATTCAGTAAACACAACATATTCATATACTAATATGGGTACTGGATATCACTTATTCAAGGATTCACATAAACTTATAAATGTTGGTGTATTGACAATAATAGGCCATAAATCTTCAACTATCCATTGCAGCAGTCTGGAACAATACTGAATATCAGTTGGTTTGTATGTTTTGATGCAATCTTCTATTGTCTGTTGGTTTTTATTTAAGGCTACATTTTTCATAGACTGTCATTATTCTGTGTACTTTTGTCAGCGGTTTTCTTCGCGAGGCGGCTGCGCTCCCTCACCGTGACAATAGAGCTCTGTAGTGTCGATGCTTAGTG